GTCTTTCTCTCACATTTTCACACTGGTCTCATTCATTCTTGACTAATACCCTTCATATCCTGTCCACTTCACACTTTTACTATGCGTTTACTCACCCATTTATCGTGATCACATAGCTTGTTGTTGACTGAACACTCTTCACACACACACACACACACACACACACACACACACACACACACTGTATATATATGTCAATGCCTGAAGTGATTTATGGGAACCGAATTTATTCGCGTTTCCACTGTGTTCTGATGCATCAATGGGAATATTTAATGATATTTTCATTTTTCCATTTCACACGTACACACGCACAGAAGTTACATGTTGCGGTCCCAGTCTGTTCAATTGGCTTCGAATCCAAACAGACCTATTACATAGAAAATTCTCTGTCTGATATACAACTCTCCCCTTTTTCTCCTTCATTTTTACTTTCTTTTAGTGAATATGTAATGATACAATTTTCAGGAAGCGCGGGTGTGTGTGTGTGTGTGTGTGTGTTAAATGGGTGGATGGGGTGGGGAGGGGTGGAGAAGCGACCAATCGAAGGGTTGCTGCACAACACACAGAGAGAATGGGAAATTCAGGCGGTGCTGGTGATCGGATTCAAACACATCCTCTGGGGGAGGGGAGGGGGGGTCACCACAGTCTAACGTGGTAACGTTGGACATCAATTTTTTATGAAGCATATCAATTTATAAAAGTACGTTTGAATTTGACTAAATAAGTATTTCACATAGCGATCGTTGTGGGATGTCAGGTTGTTGTGCTCGTCAAAGTGACACAATGCCAGACACAAATTATTGAACCATAGCCCGAATCCTTCTTATGCAGCACAATATTCTGAATGAACTTTCACCGCTCGCTTTTAAGCGCACAATGTGCGTAAATTAAATACGAATGAATAAGCTGAATAGAGAGGGAAGTTAGAAGAAACTGCATGCTTGCGATCAATGAGCAGATTACAAGGTATTCATGCATTCCAATCTGATAAGGAATAACGACACGATACGGCACAACTCTCGGTTCGTTGACATGGCTTTCGGTGTCTCCAACCAACTGATTGCAGAGTTTTCTCGACCCGAGTCCGGAAGGAGAGAGATGTCAACTATGCCCAATCTTTCAGTGAGTTTCTTCACAGTTCATCTCCGTGTTATCTGTCAATATCATCTGGGATCTTTCTGAAAACAAAGTTACATCCGTCACACTCCCAATGGCACGACAACTAACTCCAAGATTAACCGACTGCGAACTGAAGCGGTAGTCATTCTTTCAGATTGCCTTTATTTCTAAATTACAACATACCAAATGGATTAGGTCTATACCATTCGCTTAACACCTGATTCTGTGATGTATCAATTGTGTGTTCTGATTCGGATCAATTAATCTGTTGCCGCGCGCAGAACAACCAAGCGTTACTATTGGATAAAATTTTATTCCATCTGGATTAATACTAACCCCTAACCATATGGATTGGACGATATCAGTCAGCTT